CCGCAATTCGTGTGTTTTTCTTATAACTTCCGTAATTCTCGGAATTTTGAAATCAATTTTGGTAGGTACATCCAGTTAGTTAATTAGTACATCCAGTAATTAATTAATTCATTCATTTTTTTAATAATTTAATTTTTTTTTTATTTTTCTTTTTTGTGGAGAGTACAGGCTATTTTACTGTCGGGCTTGCTCGACTGTAGCGTTCTATCTTGTTTATACGTAACACATTGCACAACATATTTATAGCTGCTACGAGTGCTTTTGTCAGGAACTGAATGCTTTTTGCTATAATTGGTGCATGCTTTATAGCGCCGGCTTTTCCGACAACCAACATTCAAAAGCTCACAAAAGCTGTACAGCTTTTTTTGAGATGGAGGCTTGAAAAAATACCTACATACATACATATGTATGTTTAGAATAATTATTGACATTAAAAAAGGTAAGAGAATAAAAAAAAATGTTTTTATCGATTTGGTATTCGAACTCACGTAAAGGGTGTATAATTGCACATATACAAAGAAGCAATTGCGTCTATGTATGTTTATGCTCGTATATTCGTGTCTGTGTAAGCATGTTCGCAGTCAACCAAACCACCAGCATCATATATTTATGGCTATATTTTGTTTAATCGGTCTATCATAGTGAAACTTGGCATACGGACACATAATAACTAACTGGGGGCATTTGCAAAATTTGAGTTCGAAATTCCAAGAATTACGGGAGTTAAAGAAAATTTGCACGGGAGAGGGGGAGGGAGGGATATTCCAAAATGCACATTTTCTTCGTATTCACATAAGGTATCTTGGACTAAAATTTGATGTCCCTAGGTCTAATAGTATCCCAAATATAGGGGATTATACGAATGGAAAATCGGGAAAACCCCCATAGGGGGGAACTTGCACAGCGTGCACACATAACGCATCTTTCTGCAAAATTTGGGGTCTCTACCTCTTATAGTCTCTGAGATCCAGTTGTTCATACGGACAGACAGACAGGGCTAGATCGATTCGTCTCGTCATGCTGATCAAGAATATATATACTTTGTGGGGTCTGCCACGCCTCCTTCTGCCTGTTACATTTTCAGCTCACTCAAACCTAATATACTCTTGTACATTTTATGTACAGAGTATAACAAGAGAGAACGCTACAGTCGAGCAAGCCCGACAGAAAAATAGCCTGTACTATCCACAAAAAAGAAAAATTTAAAAAAAAAATATTAAAAAAATTAAATTAATTAAGAAAATTTATTTAATACATACATAGAAGACATGTTTATGTACAGTTTTACATTTATTTATAGTATTTATAGTATATGCGTGTATGTATGCAACACAAAGTTGAACCAAAGCAGCAACAACAACAACAACAGCTGCGGGCAGCGCTGCAGGCAGCGCATGAGCAGCGATTTTACTTATGGCTATAACTTTCTTCAGAATTGAGCTATCATGATGAAACGTGGCACACGGACACATAAGCACTAACTGGATGTAACTACTAAAATTGATTTTAAAATTCCAAGAATTACGGAAGTTATAAAAAAAAAAGAATTGTGGTGGAGTGGTGGGGGGGGGGGGGTGTATCAGAATAAAAAAAATAAACTTGACCTGCCTAGGGATTAGGGGAACCTGGGTACCAAGTTTGGTAATTCTAGCTCTTGTACCTTCTGAGATCCTTGCGCTCATACAGACGGACGGACAGGCGGACATGGCTAAATCGACTCGGCTTGTCACCCTGATCAAGAATATATATACTTTGTGGGGTCTGCCACGCCTCCTTCTCTGTGTTACATACATTCGCACAAAACTAGTATACCCTTTCACCCTTTGGGTACAGGCTATAATAAAATGAACTCGTGTTGCTTGGATAATAGAAGAGTCAACATACAAGTATGTACCAAGCTCAGTAGATATGAGTTCAACCGTTTTCGAATTTCAGACGCATGGAATATACGCGTATATTATTTCTGCCGTGTCTTGCAAAGATCTTAGTCCTATTCTAACATACTATAAGTCTACAAGGACAATAAAATACAGAAGATTAGGATAGTCTAGACTAAATTATATACTGCACACATCAATTAAATTTGTTTAAATTAATTTTTCCTTTTTTGGTGGGGTGATACAGGGTATGGCATTTACTCATATACAAGTATGTATAATTATGAAACTTGCTTCCAAAAGAAAGAAAATTTTCGAGGTCAATACATAACCAGAACAATTTTTTAAGGATCGTGGGCTCAGAGTCGATAACCCCAAATATGGATATGGAAACACAAATTATGGAAACTCATCTCACAAATTCTTCGACCATCATGAAATACTTAGCAGCAAGAATCACTGGAGTTGACAATGACATTATCAAAAGATTGGGTGTCATGTTGTGGAGCTAAAATTTCAAATGTGTATCGGAGTCTGTAGAACTGTTACTTAAAAAATGTCCTGCAGCAAATTTTGGCACATGATCAAACTTTCGATTAAATATCAGTGCCTACCAATTGAAGACTTTCAGAGGAAGTCTTCAGTCAATATAGACGAATATTTCAAATAAAACTTATAATGAGAACTAATTATAAGTATTTCATAATACAAATTAATGTGAGATTAAATAACATTGCAACAATAAATTTATTTAAACAATCATAAAGATTTTTTTCGTATGTAAAAAACAAAGGGTTGAAAATTTCTGCAGGAAAATATTGCATGAGCAACAAAATCCAACTTTCAGAAGAGATTTTATTTTTTATAGCATAGAACAATGAATAATAATTTATTTTAGAGCCTAAGATATTTATCTTTCAAATTCACTTGTTTCATATCTGTTTTCGTCCAGAATATATGATTTAAAAGTCAGACAAAGAAAGTCAGAAGGATTCACTATGCGTTGGTGGAGAGATTTTTCATTAAAAAACAAGTAAAATGTCGGGTGTCCCGACTTTGAAATACTCTGTACATATGTTTACAATAATTATAGAAAACAAAAAAAAAAAGTAAATTTAAAACAAGGCGTCATTTTTCCCAGAACATTCGTTTTGCTGTCCCTTTTTGTTGAAATATCGCTTCTTTTCGGCGGACACATGCTTGACTCGAACGCAGTTTTTCGAAATATTCTATCTTAAGCCTCTTGGTTGAACGCCAACCTATTGTAAATGAATTTTTCAAATGCATGTCTATGCATGAAACTGTACAAAAATAACAAGATAGAACGCTACAGTCGAGCAAGCCCGACAGTAAAATAGCCTGTACTCTCCACAAAAATGAAAAAATTAAACAAACAAAAAAATTTAAAAAAAAAAATTAAATTATTAAAAAAAATGAATGAATTAATTAATTAAAATTAATTAATTAAATTAAATTAGAATACACGTTTATGTTCAGTTTTAACAGCATACATTTACATCACGTACCTATGCGTGTTTATATGCGTGTATGTATGCAGCACAAAGTTGAACCAAAGCAGCAACAACAACAACAGCTGCGGGCAGCGCTGCCGACAGAGCTGCAGGCAGCGCATGAGCAGCGATTTTACTTATGGCTATAACTTTCTTCAGAATTGACTTATCATGATGAAATTTGGCATACGGACACATTAGTACTAACTGGATGTACCTACCAAAATTGATTTCAAAATTCCGAGAATTACGGAAGTTATAAGAACAAACACGAATTGCGGGGGAGTGGGGGGGGGGGGGTGCATCGAAAAAAAACTCGTACTTTCTCGGTCTTAGGAGAATATGGAAACCAAGTTTGGTTATTCTAGCTCTTATACTTTCTGAGATCCTTGCGTTCATACGGACAGACGGACAGACAGACGGACAGACAGACGGACAGACGGACGGACGGACAAGGCTATATCCACTCGTCTTCTCATCCTGATCAAGAATATATATACTTTGTGGGGTCTGCCACGCCTCCTTCTGTGTGTTACATACATGCGCACAAAACTAGTATAGCCTTTCACCCTTTGGGTACAGGCTATAAAAATTTGATCGATTTTACCTTTCTCGGTATTCGAACTCACGTAAAGGGTATGTAATTGCACATATACAAAGCAATTGCGTCTATGTGAGTGTATGTATGTTTATGTGCGTCTATTTGTGTCTGTGTAAGCATTTTCGCAGTCAACTAAACAGCAACATCAACAACAGCCGCGGGCAGCGCTTGGGCAGCGCTTGAGCAGCGCTGCAACAGCAAATATATTTATGGATATAACTTCTTGTTAAATCGGTCTATCATAGTGAAACTCGGCATACAGACACATAATAACTAACTGGGGGTGTTTGCAAAATTTTACATTTCATGTACAGAGTATAAACAAAACAGATTAATACTCTGAAAAAATGAAAAATTATTTAATCTTTGCAGTCCATACTTCAACATCATACTGCAACAGTATGCAGAAGTAAGAGCTCTTCATACATATCTGCAGATATTTTCGAAGTCACAAATTGAAAGAAAACACAAAGAAACTCACGCGTATTGTTCATTCAATTGGGTGCTTTATTTGGGCTGCAATTGCACTTACAGGTGAAATCTTATGATAAATATAATATTTGAAAATGAAAACAAAAAACAAAGTTAGTTAGTTAGTTTGATATTAAAACAATTCGACTGTCGTATGTACTCGTACATAGCCAATAATTTCCCGTTACCTACTATTGGAAATGTTGAAATATAGATTACACGATATCCGTTTATTTTTTTCAGCGTTTGCTTTTACTGTGGAAAGCGTTCATTAACCCAAGCAATCTCGTAGCCCACTGCTGCAAAGACACAGCAACAGCAAAAATGCATTTTTCCAGCCAACGCGATGCAACACGTGCTGCATTCATTTGTAGGTCTTGCGTTCAGATATTGGAGGTCGTATTGGAGAAAAATGCAATACGACGTATCAGCACGTCGGCGAGGTGGCCGTCAGATAAATCTGCCGGCGGGGGCTATAAAACACGGGGCTGCAGCCGATTCAGATCACATTGGAGGGCGAGCTACGATCGAAAATGAAGCAACTGCGCGCTGAACTCTTCCTGCTCTGCCTAAGCATGAGTTGCTGCCTGAGCTTGGCTTTGGCCAACAACCCGTGGGAATACAATAGTCCTGAATATGCGAGTGAGCAGTACGCTAGCATCTTTGGCAGTGCGGACAATGGGCTCTTTGGACCCTTACAATACCAATACGTGGACTATCTACCCAATTGTTCCCCCGGCGGCCAGCCCATCTGTGCGACGGATGGCAAGACCTACTCTTACTTCGAGAACGCATGCAGACTGGAGGCTCACAACATGAAACTGTTGTTCCAGCAAGGAACGGGTAAGTGACGCAAATGTCGCATCTTTTCAAAACCGCGACTAACTCGCCCAGCGGCTCTTTCAGAACTCGAGCCCACGGAGCTGGAAAACTGTCTGCCGAAATGCGACAGAATTCAGTGCACCAAACGGCATGCTCCGGTCTGTGCAGTGGCCTCCGATAGAGTGGGCGAAGCCCAGGACGGTATGACTTTTGGAAACGAATGTGAGCTGCGGAAATACGAGTGTAATGTGAAGAAACGTGGGTATTAGGTGAAGCCCTTATCCTTCTATTCACTAATACGTAGACATTTCCTCAGCTATGCAAATTCTGAATCAGGGCCCATGTGCTCAGAAGCTTAAGGTTAAGAAGATCAAAAAGATGCGCCAGCGATACAGCAAGGTGCGGCGTGTCAAAACAACAACAACAACGACATCAACTACGACACCAAAAATTCCGCTAACAACAAAAGATAAAAAGCAACGACCGTATATGCTGGTTGACTCATTACCGGAAACGACTACGACAGCGACACCGCTTCAGTTTCGTCAAATAGCAGGGGTATCCAGTCCGGATGTTTCGGTATCGCGTGCAGTCACAGCTTACAATGTTTATAACATACCGGACGTGGGTCAGAACTATGCGTCCATAACTGATTCTAGCTTGTCAGTCTACGTGCCCGGTGTGGGGGCCGTAACTGATGAATACCCTACAACTCGAGCACTCGAGCGAATGAGTCCAACCACAACGCTGACCACTGAACCACTGACCAGCAGTTCCACAGCTGCCCCTACCTCTAGCACTTCCCCATACCTCAGGCCCGGGCACATCACAGAAGACTACACAACTTCGTATAAGTCGACCCCGTTTTTCCAGAGCAGCACAACCGAGTCGCGCGGTACAACACCGGCGTCCACCATTGAATCCACAGCTTATGTAGCAAGCTCTACAACAAAGGCCCCCTTGTATACCACATTGGCCCTGGACCTGGCTACGACAACGGTTGAACCCATGACGACAGCTAACACGGACAAAATAGCGCAATAAATATCGTTCTGAACTAATCTTGCTGTGTTTTTGTTCCAAGCAGACAGATTCGGGGTGCATGGCTGGTTACGGGAACAGCTATAATCTAAATTAGTATTGAATTTATTTCAGATTCCTGTTTACAGAAATAAGGAATTCTCGTAAAAGTAAATTCGAAAAACTTTGGACAATGTATAGTCCTTTCCAGTGACTAAGGCAAATCTGTATAATACTGTAATGCAAATTGGTAGTGCATTGTTCAAACTGCGAGCTTGGCGCTCAATTATCGATTTGTGTTTATCGATACGCCCACTTGCGCCACCTACAAACAGCTGTTTTTACACGATCCACATTGCTGCAGCCAACTTCAAGGCTTGAACATCAACTAACTTTAAGGAGTTCTCTCCCTGGTGTGCTCTGGACCGATACGGTTGTGTTCGCCGCTGATGCGGATCATTTAAGCATCTCCATGTGTAATTTACATCCTTAAGTATTTGGGCCATCTGCCTGTTTCGATCGCTATTGAAGACTGATAAAGTGAAGTAAAGTAAAGCTGAGTTGAACGGCGCAATTATTTTGTTTGGCGCTGCTGTTATTTCTTTCTGCTTTCTTGCTGCAGCCACTTCGCCAGCCGCCACGCTGCCGTTCCCTGTTACTTTACACACCTGCCCGCTATTGTTTTGCGTAGCGAATCGCCAGTCACCGGTAGGCCAAAGCGCGATTTACGCTACAATACACACATTTCGCATTTCTTGTTCCTCTAAAACCAACAGTCAGACGATAAAAGATGCAAGCATTCTTATCTGCTTTACATTTGAAGTGTTGTACACTGCTCGTAAAATATGTATGTTCCTGACCCTGAGAAATTTCTCTTTTTAGTCGACCTATATTATAATCCCATCGGTTTGCTTATTTAGATCATAAAAGGCAGTTCTCGGCAACAATCAACAATATTGCACACACATCTTGTGAAATAGATAAAGTGTAGCTCTACTTCAAGCAGGTTAGCATCCTATAATGTGTTCGCTAAGTTTGTTTTTTTTTCCTGTGGCGCCCTCTACTCCCACTCTGAGAGTGATTTCCCATAACTTCCGTATTTTTTGGATAAATCAAGCTCGTAAGTGAAAAAATTGGAGAACACCAAGCAAAACATCAAACAACTCTAACTTCACATCCAAATCCCCTTCTAAGATCTCTAATCCAACCAGCCCATAATTTGCTGTAAAATATATATATATAACTATATATATATATATATATATATATATATATATATATATATATATATATATATATATATATTCTTATCTGCTTATATCTTATATATATATATATATAAATTAAATTATTAATTTTTTTGGGCTTTTAGTAAACTCATACACAATTAAAACATATAAATGTATATGTTTTAGAACATACATAAGGTGCGCGAAATAAGTAAGTAGGACAACACATTTTTTAACGTAACAACTGAACTATATATTATATTTCAACCAAATAATTTTTTTTTGAAACTTAAATAGCTAACAATTCATATGAGTCTTTGGCAAGGCCATACAAATAAAAGTAATAGATAAAAAAAATAAAATAAAATATATCCATACGAAATAAGTAAGTAGGACAAAGTAAAAAATCGTACTTCTTGATTTTTATTTCTAAGAGAACGCCTTAATTTAATATGTAGAGTTTAAATTGACTCTCCTTTTTTATTTAACACGGCCAATATTCGTCTTGGCATAGAATTTATTAAAGATTGAAGGATAGAAATTTCCAATTTGCCCCATTCTTCAATAATGGATTCTTTTAAGTCTTTTAGACAATTGTATTGTTTTCCATTTATGTACACTCGCTGAGATAAAATGCCCCAAAGGTTTTCAATAGGGTTCAGGTCAGGGCTTCGAGCTGGCCACTTCAAAACTGGAATTTTGTGTTCCGCAAAGAAAGTTTGTGTGCGCTTTGCAGTATGGATTCTCGCATTGTCGTGCTGAAATGTCCATACATCTCCAAAATATTCCTCCCCAAAGTTTACCAAAACTGAATCTAATAGTTCAACATAATATTCGGCATTCATGGAATGTGTCACAAAACAAATAGGAGACTTTCCATTATAGCCAAACGCGGCCCAAATCATTAGAGATCCACCATGAAAATTTCTCGATACGTGGACTTTCTTTGGACTACGTAAATCGCGATAATAATAACGATATCCATCCGGGCCGTCCAAGTTAAATTTTTTTTCATCGCTAAATATAACATTCCGCCATTCTAAGTCCCAAAATTTGTACGAGTCGGCAAATTGCACCCGAGCTGCTTTGTGTCGAGCAAGTAGTTCTGGTTTAAGGAGTTTTTTTTCATATGAAATGTTTTCACAGGACTGTAAAATTTGTTGTACTCGTCTACTGGACACTGGAAGAGACAATTCATGCCGAATCTGTGAGGCACTAATGTTTTCGTTGACCGCCAGGGATTTAATTCTTCGAACATCACGAGAATTTATTAGTGGTGGGCGACCAGAACGTGGCTTTTTACCATGATTTTGTGGATCTTTCAGAAAATTTTCCACAGTACGTTTACTTCTGCGCACTTTCTCCGAAATTTTCCGAATCGACATACCCATTTCTCGTAGTGCCTGTATTTGACCACGGTCTTCATCAGTTAAACGGCTGAAAACCGACATGTCTTTACCAAAAAAATCGTATTATTCCTCCGAAAAACAGTAGTTTTTATAAAAACTTACTTCTTATGATTTGTTTTATCGTTTAACGATAAATTTAATTCAAAAATCTGGAAACTTACGTGTTACAATAGCTGCATCACATCAAAGACTAAACTGTCCTACTTACTTATTTCGCACGCAAAAGTGAGGTAGTCCGGCTATTAATAGGCATAACGGGACAACCTAACGGTTCTTATCAAATATTTTATATGCCACTTTGAGAGCAAAGAGTAAACAAATTATGGTGGGAAGATGAAATGCAAAAAATGCATAGTGCAGATGCAACAACAATAAATGTGTTTGTCCTACTTACTTATTTCGCGTACCTTACATGCATATGTCAACGCCTGACTGATTTTTGGTTAAGACTCTGATTGTTTGTAGGCCCCCACCAAATCTATGTATGTATATCTATTAATTTTTGACATGCACTACACCATAAATCTAACTCGTGCTCTATGCCTTTTAAGCCGTAAAAAGCGCTAGTGCATCTATTTTTGCATTTGTATCGTCGAATGAAACATTTAAAATTTGATTTGGGTGCAAAGTAGCTTAAAACAAGAGAGAACGCCACAGTTGAGCAAGCCCGACAGTGAAATACCCTGCACCCAGAAACACTTCCGGCACTGAGTTTTATGCGCCCATAGCAGCAGTAAAAAGAGGAAGAAGAGCATACTTGATGCTGCAGTTTGTGGGCGTAGTACTTAAGAGAATATGTTTCGAAACAAAAGTAGATAATTGTTTATAGATTACGTGCGTAAAGCTTGATTTGGTATGCGGGCGCTCTTAGTCCCGAGCTTATACAATTTTTTTATTTGATTGATTTCGGGGCTTGGTATAGCTCAACGAGCCAGCGGGAATACCACAATGTGATTTCGTTCCTTGGGTAAGCAGCATGATTACAAAATGTCGAAGTTATCATAAAATTTAATAATTGTCCAAACTTGGACTGATCTTAAATAAAGAATAAAGATTAAACAAGAAAGGAATGCTAAAGTCGAGCAGGCTCAACTCTTAAATACCCTTAATTAATTTAATTAAATTAATTAACTAAATTAAATATAAAATATTCCATGCATGCATACATACATTTACATTTACATCAGAATCGTGCCTTATGCGTGTTTGTGTACTTGTACATATGTATGTATGTGTGCATTGGGCCTGGTTATATGGCTATAACTTTCTATCCGATCATTCTATCATAATGAAACTTGGTATACGGATATATATACGGATATATAACCTAATGTGACTACCAAATTTTAGTTAAAAATTCCAAGAATTACGGAAGTTATAGAAAATCGGTAATAGGTAATAGGGGGAAGTGGGGGGGTGGATCAGAAAAAATGAACAAACTCGTCCTTTCTCGGGCTCAGGAGAATCTGGATACCAAGTTTGGTTACTCTAGCTCTTATACTTTCCGAGATCCTTGCGTACATACAGGCAGACAGACGGACTATATGGCTATATCGACTCGGCTTGTCATGCTGATCAAGAATATATATACTTTGTGGGGTCTACCAAGCCTCCTTCTGTGTGTTCCATGTGCACTCGCACAAAACTAATATACCCTTGTACCCTTTGGGTACAGGGTATACAAATATTTTTATTATAATGTTTCAAATATTTATATTATTTATCACTCCACATTGCCTAATTTTTGAAAACCTTATCAGTTAGGTCAACGGTAACGAAAAGAGAACTCAAAACTAACTCGTGCGAAGCCGGGACGGGCCAATAGTGTATACATATGTATTTATGTATGCACATATAATTATATAAGTATATACATACATATATAACTACATGAAATCAACGCACAACCCAAAAGGAAAAATTAAAAAAAAAAATTATTTAAAAATATTAAATTCTTTAAAAAAAAAGTTTAAATTAATGATATACATACAATATACGCCAGCGGCGGTTTTCATTTGCCGTATTGCCCGATCGTAAATAAATAGGAAAGGCTGCAGAGGAGGTCCTGCGATTGAGAAACACAAAAGAATACATCAACACCTTCGTGGATAGCCAAGCAGCCATAAAACACTACCGGCGCCAATCATCAGCTCCAAAACCACGCTTTCAAGCAGAGTCCCCAACCATCGAGGTATAGAGGGCAATGAGATGGCAGACATTCTTGCAAGGAATATATGTTACCAAGACAGATATAAACTACCTACCGATACCACCAAGAGAGCTCCACAGCCGATGGGAGCAAAGGACTTGGACTAAGGCAGCTGAAGAGTAGAACAACACTGCCAACTGTAGAACATAGCGCACAAAATAACCTAATTCCTCCTGCAACTTCAGAGAATGGAGTGCATGCTCATTGCTCGTTGGCCTACTGACGGGTCACTGCCTAGTAGCTGCCCACACCAAGAAAATGGGAACAACAGCTGCAGGAAATGCAAAGAGTCCGAAGCGATAGAAACGCTTGAGCATCTAACCTAATCTAACAGCGTACACACATAAGGCATCTTTGTGCAAGAAAGGTATAGTCTCTGAGATCTAGGTTCATACGGACAAACAGACGTACAGACAGACAGACGGGGCTAGATCGACAACAAGAGAGAACGCTAATGTCGCGCTAGTCCGACAGTGAAATACCCTGTAACCAAACATGTGTTGCTTGGATATTAGAAGAGATTACATACCAAGATTACTGAATGTAACCACATCCGACATCCATGCGTTCATCCAGACAGACGGACATGGCTACATCGATTCGTCCCGTCATGCTGATTAAGAAACCATACTTTATGGGTTCCTCCTGCTTAATATTTTGCACAAATCGAATGACCCTTTTTAACCTTTAGGTAGTTTGCTATTATGCACACGAAAATGTCTAAAACGATTCGATTGATCCGCAACATTTATTCACACTCAACTTGAATAAGCAACATGTACTCGTTAAATACATTATTGTAAATTTATAATCACTCTTAAGTTAAACTGCACCCTATATACCTGTACGATAAGGCAAAACAATTGTAATATACTGGCTTCAAAGCTACAATCATATGATTGAGATTCTAACAAAATAAAATCCTTAATGTAAGACTATTTAGTATGTTAGAACCTATGCACAGCCGTTATAAAGAACTTCTGTAATACCTCCATTTGTATCTACGGCGTTCACAACAACACAATATTCATTTGATCCAACTCTTTTCATTACAATCGACATAGGGCCTTTCTCTCCCATGAATTTCATGGTGAAATCATCCTTATTAGCATCGGTTGATGATGTGACTGCACTGACACCACTTGGAAGGGAAGTAGAAAATGTCGTAGGACCTTCTGTTGATGATTCAGCTTCGGAAATGGAAGCTTCCTTAGCTGCAAATCTTGCAACTGATGGCGCTGCTGAAGTTACTGTCGAACTCGAAGTTTCTGTCGAACTCGAAGTTTCTGTTGAACTAGAACTTTCTGAAGCCGTTGATTCCGTAGGGGCTGCTGTTGACGTGTAGGATGCTGTTGACGAGTAGGCTGCTGTTGTTGGATATGAAGAAGATGTCGATTCAGCTTCGGAACTGACAGCTTGGTTAGCTGCCAATCTTGCGACTGATGGCACTGCTGAAGTTTCTGTCGAACTCGAAGTTTCTGTCGAACTAGACGTTTCTGTCGAACTCGAAGTTTCTGAAGCCGTTGATTCCATAGGGGCTGCTGTTGACGTGTAGGATGCTGTTGACGAGTAGGCTGCTGTTGTTGGATATGAAGAAGATGTCGATTCAGCTTCGGAACTGACAGCTTGGTTAGCTGCCAATCTTGCGACTGATGGCACTGCTGAAGTTTCTGTCGAACTCGAAGTTTCTGTCGAACTAGACGTTTCTGTCGAACTCGAAGTTTCTGTTGAACTAGAACTTTCTGAAGCCGTTGATTCCGTAGGGGCTGCTGTTGACGTGTAGGATGCTGTTGACGAGTAGGCTGCTGTTGTTGGATATGAAGAAGATGTCGATTCTGCTTCGGAACTGACAGCTTGGTTAGATGCCAATATTGCAACTGATGGCGCTGCTGAAGTTACTGTCGAACTCGAAGTTTCTGTTGAACTAGAACTTTCTGAAGCCGTTGATTCCGTAGGGGCTGCTGTTGACGTGTAGGATGCTGTTGACGAGTAGGCTGCTGTTGTTGGATATGAAGAAGATGTCGATTCTGCTTCGGAACTGACAGCTTGGTTAGATGCCAATATTGCAACTGATGGCGCTGCTGAAGTTACTGTCGAACTCGAAGTTTCTGTTGAACTAGAACTTTCTGAAACCGTTGATTCCGTAGGAGCTGCTGTTGACGTGTAGGATGCTGTTGACGAGTAGGCTGCTGTTGTTGGATATGAAGAAGATGTCGATTCAGCTTCGGAACTGACAGCTTGGTTAGCTGCCAATCTTGCAACTGATGGCGCTGCTGAAGTTACTGTCGAACTCGAAGTTTCTGTCGAACTAGAACTTTCTGAAACCGTTGATTCCGTAGGGGCTGCTGTTGACGTGTAGGATGCTGTTGACGAGTAGGCTGCTGTTGTTGAATTTGAAGAAGATGTCGATTCTGCCTCGGAACTGACAGCTTGGTTAGCTGCCAATATTGCAACTGATGGCGCTGCTGAAGTTACTGTCGAACTCGAAGTTTCTGTTGAACTAGAACTTTCTGAAACCGTTGATTCCGTAGGGGCTGCTGTTGACGTGTAGGATGCTGTTGACGAGTAGGCTGCCGTTGTTGGATATGAAGAAGATGTCGATTCAGCTTCGGAACTGACAGCTTGGTTAGCTGCCAATCTTGCAACTGATGGCGCTGCTGAAGTTTCTGTCGAACTCGAAGTTTCTGTCGAACTAGAACTTTCTGAAACCGTTGATTCCGTAGGGGCTGCTGTTGACGTGTAGGATGCTGTTGACGAGTAGGCTGCTGTGGTTGGATATGAAGAAGATGTCGATTCAGCTTCGGAAATGGCAGCTTGGTTAGCTGCCAATCTTGCAACTGATGGCGCTGCTGAAGTTTCTGTCGAACTAGACGTTTCTGTCGAACTCGAAGTTTCTGTTGAACTAGAACTTTCTGAAACCGTTGATTCCGTAGGGGCTGCTGTTGACGAGTAGGATGCTGTTGTTGGATATGAAGAAGATGTCGATTCAGCTTCGGAAATGGCAGCTTGGTTAGCTGCCAATCTTGCAACTGATGGCGCTGCTGAAGTTTCTGTCGAACTAGACGTTTCTGTCGAACTCGAAGTTTCTGTTGAACTAGAACTTTCTGAAGCCGTTGATTCCATAGGGGCTGCTGTTGACGTGTAGGATGCTGTTGACGAGTAGGCTGCTGTGGTTGGATATGAAGAAGATGTCGATTCAGCTTCGGAAATGGCAGCTTGGTTAGCTGCCAATCTTGCAACTGATGGCGCTGCTGAAGTTTCTGTCGAACTAGACGTTTCTGTCGAACTCGAAGTTTCTGTTGAACTAGAACTTTCTGAAGCCGTTGATTCCATAGGGGCTGCTGTTGACGTGTAGGATGCTGTTGACGAGTAGGCTGCTGTTGTTGGAAATGAAGAAGATGTCGATTCAGCTTCGGAAGTGGCAGCTTGGTTAGCTGCCAATTTTGCAACTGATGGCGCTGCTGAAGTTTCTGTCGAACTCGAAGTTTCTGTCGAACTAGAACTTTCTGAAACCGTTGATTCCGTAGGGGCTGCTGTTGACGTGTAGGATGCTGTTGACGAGTAGGCTGCTGTGGTTGGATATGAAGAAGATGTCGATTCAGCTTCGGAAATGGCAGCTTGGTTAGCTGCCAATCTTGCAACTGATGGCGCTGCTGAAGTTTCTGTCGAACTAGACGTTTCTGTCGAACTCGAAGTTTCTGTTGAACTAGAACTTTCTGAAGCCGTTGATTCCATAGGGGCTGCTGTTGACGTGTAGGATGCTGTTGACGAGTAGGCTGCTGTTGTTGGAAATGAAGAAGATGTCGATTCAGCTTCGGAAGTGGCAGCTTGGTTAGCTGCCAATTTTGCAACTGATGGCGCTGCTGAAGTTTCTGTCGAACTAGACGTTTCTGTCGAACTCGATGTTTCTGTTGAACTAGAACTTTCTGAAACCGTTGATTCCGTAGGGGCTGCTGTTGACGTGTAGGATGCTGTTGACGAGTAGGCTGCTGTTGTTGAATTTGAAGAAGATGTCGATTCAGCTTCGGAACTGACAGCTTGGTTAGCTGCCAATCTTGCAACTGATGGCGCTGCTGAAGTTTCTGTCGAACTAGACGTTTCTGTCGAACTCGAAGTTTCTGTTGAACTAGAACTTTCTGAAGCCGTTGATTCCATAGGGGCTGCTGTTGACGTGTAGGATGCTGTTGACGAGTAGGCTGCTGTTGTTGGAAATGAAGAAGATGTCGATTCAGCTTCGGAAGTGGCAGCTTGGTTAGCTGCCAATCTTGCAACTGATGGCGCTGCTGAAGTTTCTGTCGAACTAGACGTTTCTGTCGAACTCGAAGTTTCTGTTGAACTAGAACTTTCTGAAACCGTTGATTCCGTAGGGGCTGCTGTTGACGAGTAGGATGCTGTTGTTGGATATGAAGAAGATCCTGAGGAAGCTCCAATGCTTGGAGTTGAGTAAGCTGCTGATGCTGGGGTTTCGGTAGATGTTGGTGCTGTCGTTGAATTCGAAGGTCGTGAGGACGGAGTATGGTACTGTGGATATGTTGGGTTAATCCACTCTCTCTGCTCGGTTGGGATATCATCCAATGGAACTTGATATGTCTGTGCAAGGCTATAAAACGGAGGTGGGACTATGTACTGTGTTCGTACTGGCTGATGGAAATATATAGGTTGTCCATTTATTGGAGGCGCCAATGCAAAAGGTGGCTGTGCACCATACAGAAAGTATGGATTGTAGATTGGCGCCTCTGGCAAGTACGGTGTGGGGGAATAAGTTTCGCACTCGCCGCTATGTAAATACTCCCAAGCTGTATAGATGAAAAAAAAATGATGAAACTATTGCAAGCCATATGGATTTGTATACGTGTACTTACATTGTCCCGCCCGACATTTTACTAACAGCATTTCACACATTGTATTAAAACTTTGTCGCACTCTACCGAGCCGAGCACATACTGGCTTGGGCTCTTCGGGGCAGTAATATGGACAGTATGTTGGCATGCAAGGACCATTATATAGAATATGCCATCCTGCAAATGATGTCTAAGTTAAGATATTTCCATCTCACAGCAGTTAGCAACTTACGTAGACCAGTGGCACAGGTATTGCGTTTCACATCGCAAGCACTCTTGAAAGTCATCGCCTGATTTGAGGCCCAAGGCATTGCACAGACCTCACCATCACTTTCGTCGCACTGAATACGATCGCAGTGGGTCAAGTAGGGAGACCTTTGTCGATTGTTCAAATCGCCATAGCCATAAGCAACGGTAACTAAGCTCACGCTGATCAGAAGTGTCCACATTTTTAACTAGTTTCAACGCAACTGTCTGGAAGCCTCGACAAGGCTAACCATTTTATACTGACCCACGCCACACTAACTGCAAGCGACTTGTCTGACAATAATGTCTGCCAGCTTATCGTCGCGTTCCCTACGTGCTAAACGCCCCATTTAGCTTATTTAATATATCGCTTCTTATTAACCGCTGTCCGACGGTTAGCATTTTTTTGTTTGTTTTTTTTTTTTCACCTTCTTTAAAATGTGTTTTTGTTATATTTTTACATTTGTTGCTTTTTAATTGCATTATCCATGACTTACGTGTAGGAGTCTCTGGGCAGCACGCCAAATTCTGTGAATTAAATACTTGTACAGAATATTTTCGAACTTACGAAACACTTCATATGAGTAATGTGGCAAGCACGAAGCATAACAATGGAACTGACAAACAATGGAGATAGTAATTGAATTAATTACTCAATTCGCAAACACGTGCTCTCACTGATATGAGTAATAAACATAACACGTGTACCATGGTCGAATCTTGTATAAAAGTAAAAGAACTGCAAACGCTATTATACCCGTATAAAAAAATAAACCTTCTTATGTGGATGGTGGCAGATTAAAAAGAGTCAAGATACATTCCCTTCACAAAAGAATTAAATGCTCGTAGTACGCCGATCAAGCATTTACTTTAACGGAATAAGCCTCAATCAGCACAGAGTTGAACCGCAGCAGCAACAACAGAAACTGCTGCAGGCAGAGCTTTGGCAGAGATTACATTTATGGTTATAGCTCCGCTTAGCGTTAACCTATCCCAGTGAAAATTGGGTGGGAGGATACATGAGAACAAAAAGATTGCAAACTTATCCCATCTCGGATTTAGGAGAATCTGGATACCAAGTTTTGTTATTCTAGCCCTTAAACTTTCTGAGGTCCTTACGTTCATATAGACGGGGTTAAAGATAGTCATGGCTATATCGAGTTGTCTTGTCATACTGACCAAGAATATATACTTATATACTTTGTGGGGTTTGCCTTCTGCATTTAGCCAGTTCCCTACGGGTACAAGGTATAATTACTCCAAAATATACATTAGTTGACACTCTAATTCAATTGAATAAATCGTTATCGGGCGTGGGTATATGTTGTTAAAACTCAAAAGCGGTGCATCGGAAAAAACACAAACGTGTCCTTTCTTGGGCTTAAGCGCGACTACGTACTCCTTCCAACTATGGTTATTCTAGCTTATTTGTATTGGAGATCCTCGTCTAGTCATACTGATCAAGAACGTATATACTTCATGGGATTTGTTGCGCCCACCTGACATTTGCGAGAAAAGTTCGCTAATAATCGGCAAAGTATTAAAATATTGGACAACATTTGTGCAATTAAGTACAAATACTAATACAATTTTTTCCTCTTTTGTATGCTTATTGTTCAGTTTTATTTAAATTGATCCCAAATATATTGCCATCAAATATATAAAAGTATGATTAAATGGACTGTACTTGGAACTTACAAAAAAAAGTTTAATAATCTGACAACAAATTATATATCTCTTTCATTTTTTCTATGTTAAGCCCAAAACTAAAATAATAAGCAAAATCAATTTCTAAACATGAATACGAAAACAGTTTTGTTAGGAACGTTCTTATCTAACCTATATTTTATCGGAGGTCCACTGGTCTAACCTAACCTATATTTAATCGTAATACAATCATCAGTACTATCAAAACCGAAGTACTTACTATGATTTGATAGGTTGTCACCTTGAAAATGGACAGACAAGAACATCACTCTTAACATATTGCGTTGGAGGGGAATGCGACCCAGTCATGCAGCCCACATGAACTTCAATAGACCAATGGAGTTGCGATAGCGGGTGTTTCATATTATTGTTTCATCTGAGAGTCCTCCCGGAGAACTACACATTACTTGTAGTGTTCAAGGCCTTTGTGTTGAAATCCAGGATTTCAACTCTCTATACATTTGCGGTGAATATAGCAGCTGTCGAAGATGTTGCTGTGGTGGAAGCATTTGTAATGGGGAGAGTTGTTGTTGTAGGGGCTGTTGTTGTAGGAGTTGTTGTTGTGGAAGTTGTTGTGGTGGAAGCTGTTGTTATAGGAGTTGCTATTGTAGAAGTTATTCTGGTGGAAGCTGTTGTTATAGGAGTTGTTATTGTAGAAGTTGTTGTGGTGGAAGCTGTTGTTGTATGAGTTGTTGTAGTGGAAGCTGTTGTTGTAGGTGTTGTTGTTGTAGGAGCTGTTGTTGTAGGGGTTGTTCTTGTAGAAGTTGTTGTAGTGGAAGCTATTGTTTTAGGTGTTGTTGTTGTAGGAGCTGTTGTTGTTGTAGGAGCTATTGTTGAAGAAGTTGTTGTGGTGGGAGCTGTTGTTGTAGGATCAGTTGTTGTTGTGGTGGCAATATTGCTTGCAGCAGAATCAATTCTTGCACCGAATGCTATGAGGGATGTCGTGGAACTTGTTGTCGTAGGTAGAGTTGTTGTATTAAATGTTGCTGTTGGGGTCGAAGTTCTTTCTGCAGAAGCTATTGTTATAGAAGCTGTTGAAGTGGCACTTGCTGTTGTGGAACTTCTTGCTGCGAAAGTTCCCGAGGTAGGACCTATTATAGTAGGAGTTGATGAAAGAGTTGTTGCAGAAGTTGTCGCAGTAGCTGTGGGAGTCATACGAGTAGAAGCTAATGCTGCAACAACAGCTGTAAAAGCTTGTGTGGTATAATCTGTTGTGGGAGGTGCTGTCATAGGCGCTGCAATTGTAGGCGCGGCTATTATAGAAGCTGCCATTGCTGACATTGAACTCTCTGTCAACCGTCTTGGACTGATTAGGTTAATCGAGGGTGGAGCCATCATTGAGTTGCCCATAGTAGGTCTTGAACGCGGTGTTATTGTAGGAGCTGGATATGCTGAACCGCCTGATTTCGGGTATGATCTGTATGGACTATCGATGGTTAGCAATGGTAAATAGGCAGAGACATAACTGTACGGGTTATAAGCTGGCAACATCGTTGAATAAATAGCGGGATATCTAAGCGCAAGTGGTGCGCTTTTTCCTAGAACGGAAACTTTGCCATATGGGTGACCAGAATGTGATTTCGCGTATGCGAATGCTGACGAGCGTGGGGAGGAGTAGGTTTTAGGGCGTACATCGTTCTTAAAGACCGAATTTTGTGTAGATTGTTTGCAGCGATTCAAATTTGTGCGCACGAAGTCTGCCAATAGTAATAGGAAATTATTAAAACTGTTGAACTCTGGCTAAACCAAAAAGCTGTTACCCCACCTGCTTGGCCTACTAGCCGCAACTGCTGATTGTGTTCATTGAGCCGACATGGGCTGTCGAAGTATTGATACCAGATTCCATTGGTGGCGCACAGTGGCTCATTACCGCCCACAGGACAAGCGGCACCATCGGACATGTCGAAGTACGCATAGTCGATATCCAGTTTTTCGGGGACTTGTTCGAATTCTTCCGCCTTTTCGACTGCGTAGCCCTGTTCATGATTGAAAGCGCGTCCATGGCCGGTGGTGACGCTCAAGACCAATCCAGTGCAGAGTAGTAACAACATTTTGCTGACCTCGCTGACTTGTGCTGCTGTTGCTTATATAGTGGGGTTTAACTAACGAGAAACTGCTTCTATGGAACAATCGCAATATGCGCGAAAGAAGTCGTTACGTGCTTTTGGCGGTTGATGGCAATATCTCCAGCGATAAGAAGCAGCCTGTCACCATTTTTTGTGAGTTTTCTCAAAGTTTAAAGAAGAAATCAACTGTGTACGTTAGCTCGGGAGCACCGAAGCGTTTATACACTCGCAAATGTACTTCTGCTTTCCCGTTTTGCACTAACATGCAAACATATTGCTCCTATGGAAACTGCGTGATATAGAAGTTTATCCTGACTTTATTCTTGCAACATCACAAACCACAATTCACATTTCTCCTAAGAATCAACATCTTCACTAACCACCAAGGTTTTCCTACCCGTTGTGTTTTTCGGCAGTTACATGTATGATATAGAGTTCGAAAATCAATTCAGTTTTGCGCATCAGTGGACATATTTATACAGTACCGATTATATTATTACATATTTAGTGAGGCGACGAATCCAAATCTTTTGTCTGTCTGCTTCAATCATAACTCTCTTCACATTTTAGAGACTTCTCCTAACTATACACAGATAATTTATATGGCCTGGCTTTGTCCCATCATATGTAGAATATGAAAATCTTCTTCGCTTTGAACATCTAACGGTGTTGCGTGCCGCCAATACACTATGGTCCAAATCGCTGTTTTGTTTAGCATAAACTCCAAAAAGGAAGGTGTCGTCTTTAAAATTGGCATTAGAAATTAATAGGAAAATATTTGGGTGGATTGGACAACTCACTGAGCCTGTGACCATTTTCAGTGTTTTAAACTATGTATTTGTTTTGTTTTTAATTATTATATAATATTATAAGTATATACATATCCATATAAGTCAAGGCCAGAAGTTTGTCTGGGTATAGAGTATATCACTGTCGGGCTTGCTCGACTCTAGTGTTTTCAATCAAGACTCAAGCAAGCCAATTCGAGTGTTTTTTTAATCTTTCTAGAGTTTGATTACAACTTGGCATGTGCTTCTTAATATAATTGGCGAAAGCCCTTACTTTTCCCGATATCAGCATAGTATTATATTCGTCTAAGATTCTAACATTCATTTTCTGCATTATATACTGCTTAAATATGTCTTCTCAGTCTTGCTGCTCTGAATGTACATTTCTGCGTGCCCCAACACGATTTTTTCGCAAAGGTGCAAAATCGTGCAAAAAGTGCTATTATCACTATAAAATATAATCTCAAAGACAAATTTGGCAGTTTTAGTTTGCCAGCTTGCTAGTTCTACTCCATAAAACACATAGAAACGCATTAGTAAAAATACACACAACAACAACAATGTACAACAAAAACAAAATTCACATATATCACATTAATAGTCATTTTTAAATTTCTACATACTTTGAGCAGTATTATGCATATTCTACTTTTGCTTCTAACCAAAACACAAATATTCGCCATTTAAGTAAATATTATAGTACAAACGAATTCGCGCCAATTTCAGCAAAGTAAGCTGCTGATCATACTCCTTGCTTTCCAAGGCTGCAAAAATTGTAGGATTGCCGTTACATTTATATTTATTTTTAATTTCATTTAGTTAATATAGTATGTATAATTTGGGAAAATAACCACCTTTACGAGGTTTACTGCGATTAAATTTGGAGGCTTATGCCAAAAAAACGTCGATTTCGACCAAAGTGCAATGGAATAACAAGAGTAAACAAACAATAAGACAGTAATCAAAAAAAAAAATAAAAAAAAAATAGAGTGGAGGGTAGAAAGCATCTAAGCACATACAATTAACTTTTGATCTTGTTTGAAAAGGGGGGAGATAGAAGTTTTGTAGATAAATACGAGTACATGTTATTTTCTCATTGGCGATCCCCTTTAAAATACAAGCACATATAAAAACAAGAAAGGAATGTTAATGTCCAGCAGGCTCAACTCTTAAATACCCTGTACCTCCCACCAAAAAGGAAAAAATGAAAAAAGAATTTTTTTATTAATTTTAAAAAATTATATTAATTAAATTAATTAATTTAATTAAATGCAAATAATTATTCAATACATACATATATACAAAAGTGGAGACATGGTCATGTACAGTTTCAACAGCATACATTTACATAAGAATCGTGTCTCAGCGTGTTTACAAGTATATACGTGTGTGTATGCAGCAAAAAATTCGATTATTATTATTATTATTATATAAAAGTCTCAAAATAAATTATAAAAATAATATTTTTGGATTTACAAGAATACTTAAATTCACATAATTGTTGCATATAGAATTTGGAGAGCAATCCGAATGACTAGTTATACATGGATGTTGAGTGTTCGGGCTAACTTGTAATAAATTTATTTATTTATTTATTGGTAACTTCTTCCAAGTGCAACAAGTTCTAGCCATTCTAGTCATTTTAAGAACTCAGTCGTTAAACAGAGTTTTACATATATTAGTTTGATTTAATCAAGTTTATATTAATAATTGAAACAAAGAATTATTAGAAAATAAAAAGGAAATAATAATAATAATAATAAAAATATAATATTCTAAATTAAATTTGGATTTTCCTTATACTAAATTATTTATATGATAGTTTTACAGTAATAACTGGTTATGCTTGTTAACGTGTCAGCTCAGTAATGCAAATGTTGTAAATATTTTTTATGTGTATAATGACATGCCCCATCCTGCAATTTGCAGTTTTAAGTAGAGGAACTTTGCCAGCAGTCCTGTGGGATAGATTTGCCACTTTTCGTGGTCTAACGGTTCACGACGAAACAAAAAACCCCCAATTTCACTTGAAATCGTTCTGATAGGCATGAACGGGTCGCGATTTGTCTGGTTTGAGAGCATTCGTTACGAACTTTTCAAACCATCCCATTGATCTGGCAATGAATTTGTAGTTCTTACGGGGAAATATTGGTATAACATTTCTTCAAAGATTTGTCAGAAGTTGGTATCCTTTGTGTCTGCAGGAATCGAAAAGATCACTCAGAATAATGGCGGATATTCAGGGTATAATATCCATTTCAATATTTTTTTTAAATTTTGATTCGTCACACCTATTATTCTGTTCAGCCGAAATATTTGTATTTTATAAATTAACTAAACGCAAAGTTATTTTTAATAGTTGGTAATGCCGAAGTATGTTTATTTTGAAAACTAACTGATTTTTTGAGAAAACTTAAAATACATATGAAAGGTAAGCTTTTTGGAAAGAAAATATTCTCACACCTATTATTCTGTCCAGGTGTGTATGTTTAATTTTTTAAATATAAATAATTTCTTGGTTAAATTAAATATAACAAGCTTTTTCATTTCACAAAATGTACGATGACTTAGCATGCAAAAATATTAATTCTACCTACTGTGTGCATAGTTTACTTATGTACAAGTATATATGTAGGTAAGTATGTATGTGCATTGAAATGAATGCAGAAATGAACTTTTGAAAAATAAATGCAAGCCTCTAGTACACCAATTGCTTGGCAAACTTGTTGCTAACGTGCACGTACGCTGCAGTGCACTGCTGTAAAAGCTTGTCGGTAGAGCAGTGCACAGCTTCTCGCGAGCTTTCGCTGCACTCGGACACATTTTTGCACAGCTTTTCGTGGGTCCATGAACTTGTGGCCAAGTGCGCCCCACGGCTCTTTTAGCCAACGCGTCCTTGCTCACTTGCCATCTCACGGCGCTTGCGAGTGGTTGGACGTCACATATTTGTGCGATTTGCTCGTATAACTCGGTAGTACTTGTGTTTGATTCATTTTTCCTGTTGCATTCGTGTCATTATTGCGAATATTAACGGTTTCCCGGAATTGTTTCGCATGACATCGTGTGAACGATGAAAGCCAAAAGTATGTGATTTCCAATACACTCGTATGTACACTATACGTATAATACAAGTAATAACATAACAACTTTTAAGAAAATCTGGCGTAAATTAGTGAAAGAATCCTCATTGCGAACGTAAACAGAACCAATCAGAACACTTAATATCATCCGTGGGCGAACAACAGATGGGCAGTTTGCCACGTAGGCGATTGGATAATAATACTGTCGATATTTCAAACTGATTTCGCACACCATTGATTCGCAAAGTACACGTATATTCTATACAATCAACGACAATCTAATATTGTTTTGCTGATCCGTCAAATATTGAGCCGAACTTAATCTCGAGCATTCTGTA